GTTTTGGGGAAATTAATATTTTGGCCAGAAAAACTTTTTAAAGATCTCTCTTGGGGAGCTGCATGAGCAGCCTGTATATCAGACGAGGGTTCTGGGGTGCGGGAGCGATCCCATGGCTTGCATAGAAAGTGCTCCATTTTACATCATTGGCCCCAGAATGGATCTGGCTAACATTCACTTCCCCTAAAGAAGTAATTTGTGCTGAATTAAATAGGTGAACTCGCTCAGGAAAACTCAGCAGCCCCCTTTCTCTGCCTGGTCCTCCTATGCTGATGGGCTCGGTCAAGGTTTGACACCATTCCTGTGCACTAATAGCTGCTGTTATTAAACCCCTTCCTCCATCCCCAGGTCAGGCCAATATAGTAACAGAGGATTTTTTTTTATTGCAAATTATAGTGAATTTCATTCAGCCTTGAATCAGCAAAGCCATGACTTCTGCTCTCCTGGAATGCTACCAATCTGCCCAAGCTAGGGCAGCAGTAGATTGGTCCTTCTATGGCAGTGGTGGGGAACTATGGTCTGGGGGCCAGTTCCGGCCTCCCACTTGCCTGGATCCAGCTCCTGAAGTTTGAGGTTCCCCCCTAGCATTGGGGAGCCAGCGCTGGTTCTCCAGCCCTATGTCCTGCCTCGTGGCCCTCCCTTGCGGGTCTGGAGCGCCAGTACTGGCTCCCTGCTTTGAGGCAGGGGGGAGGCCTGATCCTTGTGGGCTGGAGTCAGGCAAGCCAGGGACAGATCCAACCCATGGGCTCTGCCTGGCAGGGGGAGGCAGCAGCAACACACTGCTGCTACCCTTCCCCCTCCCCCAGGTGGGGAAATGGCAGCGAAGCAAAGTCCTGCCTTGAGGCTTTTCCCCCGCCACTCTGATTGGCCATAAATTGCAGCCCATAGGAGCAGCAGGGAGCTTGGTAAAAGTTGCCAACTTGATAGCTCTGGAGGTGAAAGCTCTCCCCTCACTCACAACACAGTCTCCGCCCTAAAAAGCAAGACCAAGCTCTCCACACTGCTCCCTCACCAGCAAGATTCAGCCCTGAGGCACAGAGGTCACCATCCAGGAAGAATAGGGCAGAGTCCTTGACCTCTCCTGAGAATGTCTACAAAACCGTAGGTGCCATGGAGAGGGGGTGTCTTTCTGAGATGATCATCTGTTCAGAAATAAAAATACTGCAACCTCACTTGTTTCACACAAGCTACCAAGTGACCTCCCCTCCTTAGCAAAAATAGTTGTCTTACTTGGGCTTCATCCAGTTTATGCTGAGCTCCAGCCCTCCCTCAGGATCTCTGGCTATCTCTAGTTTGTCCAAGATGGATTCCGATAAACCCAACAGTGTGCTCATTTCGGAATCCTACCTCAGACTCCCCTTCTACAGCATGGATCATGACATTACTCACAATGAGTTCAAGTCTGCACATATAGGAATGCCAAGTGGCTCTTTCCAGTAGCGGACAACCCAAAGCAAGGATAGGCTCACCTCTACCTGACTTCCAGTTGATATATTTCAGCTTGAGTCTTTCTGCGAAGTATAGGGGCTGCTGCAATTCAAGCTTCAAAGCCAGTCACTTACAAGGATTCCCGCTTTTGACACCACTGCATTGCACACCTCAGGCATGAGGATGCCATAGTACACCATCACACACACACACACACCTGGGACACCTCTTTTTCTTTTCACCTCTTCCCTTTCCCCAGAGAAAGCCCAGTCCCACACTTAGCGCTTTCCCACACTGATTACCTGTGGTATTATCACACTTGACCTGCCAATCAGCCTTTGTCATTCCTTTCTCTTGTAACTCCATGTGTAACTTTCACCTTAACTCCCTGCAAGGTGTAAGTACAATACAGCAGACCCTTTCCAACATCTGGTAGCATGTTCCATGTACCACAGGCTCACAGGAAAGAGGCACAAGAAATCTGAACATGAAGCCCTTATGGCCCCCTTC